ATGCGTCTGAATCATTTTAGTCATTTACGACTCACCTGGCTTTGTTTGTGGGTGCTAGTACTCCCACAATTACTGACACCTTTTAAACTTAGGTTATTGTCAAGACTGTGATCTTGACATGGGTGTTAGTTTGGGTTAGCAAGCTTTTTGTTGTTGGTGATGTCTGTGATTTTTGTTTAGGTTGTGATGTTTGATATTTGCCTGTAGATGCTGTATGGCTTTGGCACTTTTCTTGTCGGGATAAAAAAAAATAATGATAAAAAATAAAATAAAATAAAATAAAATGTTGCGGTGACATAGCAGGTGTTGAGTTCACTATATAGAGGCGCCTAGTGGTGGTGTGGATGCCATTCTGTTGGGATAAGGTTTTATTTATTAGATTGGTTTTAGGGGATGATGAGTTTATCTTGAGATAAGTAATACGTTATGGAATTTTATTGTAATTCAGATACTTAGTTTTAAGAGTTAATTAATTCAAGAGTCCAGCACCCTAAGAAAAATCGCATCAATAGAATTCTTTTCTAAGTCATGTTTCCTTATTTTGCTTAATCTCAATTTTCTAGTATAGTTTAACTTCCCTTTAATTAATTATTCTAATTCAGTTTAGTTTCTTTGTTAATCAAATTTCCTTTCATTTGCATTCCTTCGACAATAGTAACTCTTGAATTACAACTCCCTGTCATTTCATTTTATGCCCAGTTTCCGTTTTAATCCAGTTTATTTTCATTGCAATTCGAATCCATTTGAGAGTTTAATGTTCTCTCTCATGCATAGCATGTCCAAACCATTTTACAAAAGAGACTAAACTTGACCTCTTTCACACAAAATCAAACCATGCTCATTGGTTCTGGCACAACTTCATCCACCTAGGGATGCCAATGGGGTGGGGTGGGGATCTCATTCCCCATTCCCATCCCCGGTAATTTTTTTCATCCCCATCCCCGTTTAAAATTTCACTTCAATCTCCATACCTGCCCCCGCCCTCCATTTCCCTTCCCCACCCTACAATCCCCATCCCTGTTTAATATACACTATAATTTTTTTAATACATAATTGTTCTTATTTTTAGAAGTATGTTTGTATATACTTAATATAATTTATTAATATATCATAATTTATGGTATTTAATAAATTTACATTATAAACGAGGCGGGTTTACCCTTTCCCCGTCCCCGTCCCCGCCCCGCCCCTGCCAGGTATTCAAAAATTACCCCCATCCTTATTCCTGTTTGCATAATAGGATCCCCAAACCCGCCCTAAACGGGGTGGGGACCCGATGGGGATGGGGACATCCCTACATCCACTGTTTTCTGAGTCGGTAAAGTTTGCCGATTTAAGGGGCAACAGTTTGTTTACAAGCCCCTACTCCAATCTAATTAGTTTACCTACACTGAAATGGCCATTGTACCACTAGTAGTGTGGAGTTTTGCATGAGTGTGATTCAGCAACTGCCTTGAAGACAACTTTATTTTGATCCGAAAAATGCTTCAAGCAGTCTATGCTTAGCTTGAATAGTTTGGACCTTTTCGAATTTATAAATATTTAGGCTCATATCAAAGAGCATTGTAAACAACTTAGGCTCATGTTAGGGAACATTGCTTGCATTTAAATTTTGAAGATAGTTTATGCTCATGTCAAGGATCGTTGTTAATTTTATATTCTTTACCTTGGTAAAGATAGTCCAAACTTAGGTCATGTTGGGGTATGTTGTGATTGCCAAACGACCCCTAGTTTTTTTTTGCTTCCATTAGATATAAATTCGTACAAGGTAACTACAATATGATTCTACTAATAAATATATTAAAAAAATTAACTACTTGTATGTGCATTCAAACAAATATATATATGTATATATATATATATATAGAGAGAGAGAGGAGGGAGCGGGGGTTATGAAAGAAAAATGGAGACAAACAAAGAAAATATTAAGGAAAAAGAAAGGATAAAAAAAAAACAAATAGTTTTTTGGAATTTTGCAATGGAAACTATTAAAAGTAAGATTTCATTCCCCAAATTTTATACAAGCATTTTTTTATTATTATTAAATGATTTGAATATACTCATCTTTCAAAATAATAATAATAAAAATAATTTTTAATATTTTTTTAGTATATTGATAGTGAATGAATTACCAAATAGTTTACTTTATAAATTCAATGCAGAGAGGTTATATCAAATTCTTGCAAAAATGTTACATCAAATTCTAGGGCTCAAGCACTTCAAGTAAGGCTAAGAATGCAAGTTAGTTTCTTGTAAGCAAATAATGCATTATTTTTCAAGTGAGACAATTATTTTGCAACAACTAAAAATAGAAATATAAATAATATTTTAATATATATATATATATATATATATATATATAGTTTTTTGAAACGAAGGAGTATCAAATATGACTTAGAAAAAAGGAACCAAAGCATCCCAAAATCTTGTTTTTAAATTATGTACGTTGCTTTGGATCTATGAATTGGCGAAAAATTAATCATTTGCAGAGTCAGTGACATCGTGAAATGCAACATATAACAAGTTGGTAAAACATATCGACAATAATTACCGCCAACAAATTCGAAACTATTTTCTTTTAAACGGCTTTAAAATAAATTAAAAACGGCTTTAAAAATAAATTAAGTAAATAGTTTTTACGTGGCTTTCCAATCCTCTCGCTACTTCATAGGTTATGGAATCGAAGAAACATTGGTCATGAAGCATCAAAATAGTATGATACTTGTAATCATGAAACAAGTTAAGATCAAAATGGTTTGATGCTTATAATCAGAAAACATCACAATCCAGTAGTGCCGTGCCCATCAGAGTATATTTACTCCAGACTCATCACACAAACGGTGAGCATCCCTGAAAAGAAAAATATTTTATGTTATTTGGGTCAAAAGAAGGTACCAGCCATAAAACTGCTACTGCAATCACAAAAATACTTTGTTGTATTAATTCTATTAAAGAAAGCAAGCATAATGCAATAAAAAAAAAAAAAAAAAATTTGTAATATCAAAGAAACAAAAATTATTGAAAAGAAAGTCATTTTTGTTAGATATACATTTTTTAAAAATAATAATGCAACAAACAAATAATCCAAGTGGGTGTAGCCAAGTGGTATATTTCCTAACTTTTCAAAGGAGGTGGATGGTTGAAGTTCCCATAAGTGGGTGTAAGTTTCTTGTCAAGGTAAAAAATAATAATTATAATAAACAAAAATGAAACAAAATAAAAGAAAGAAATTATAGCACACAAAAACAATTCCTGAAGTACTTTCTTTTACCCTAAAAATCATGAAATTCATGGAGTGGTATCTGGAGTAGGAGAAACATTTTTGGAAAGGAAGCACGAAAAGTTTATGATAAGATGGAACGATAAAATAAAACTAGTGTAATATCCAAATCCTTAAAGTGCACAAGCTTTTAAAATGGACGCCAACATAATTTCCTTGACATAGCATTAAATGTTGCTAATTTACTTCACAACCCATGTGCCCAAGTGGTATCAGCTGCATCCTCGAGCACTATCGGTCTATTTAAAGGGTGATATCATATGGCAAAATAAGTAGAACACGCCAAACCTTACATATTCAATTTCTCATCTAAATCGGTATGGTAGGAGGATAAAGCTTTTTAAGGATAAAAAAATGAGTTAATCATGGCTTATGGCTAATTGCAAGGTTTATGACTTATACCCTATGTCCTCTTGCTTTCCATCAAAACTCTCAAATCTACTTTAATGGACAGTTATCCTAACATGAAATTTTTTCTCTCTTTTTTAATAAGTTCCTTCAAAGTGCACTTATGGAGGAGCGCATCTCATATACAAATGCCAAAAAACACAAAAAGGAAACTCTATACCCTCAAGCTATCCACAACATCTCCAATAGATTTACAATGAAACCCATTAATCCAAAAGAATAAGAAACTAAGAATGCAGAACTTAAGTGCTTGGTATCGAGTAATGCTTGGGTCCAGCCTTATCAGGACAAGAATTGTCCTCCATAATGACGTGGCCCAATCATAATTTGCCACATCTCCATTGCATTAAAAAATATAAAACATGGGTATAACCCATTTAACCGACCCATTTTAATTTCTCTCTCCTTGTTTCTCTCCCATCCCGTATGTTTTCCTTTCTTTATCAGATCAATCTCCCATCTCCCAATGTATTGCCCTCACCAGAGACGGAAGCTCACGAACTAGAAAAGTAAATCAGAGATGATGCAATTTACAAAGTTTGTAGAATAGCATCAGTGAAGCTGTAGAAAAGAAGCAGAAGAGAAACCCTAATCTCAAGGCAACCAATTGTCCCCACAGAACCAGGTACTTCATCCATGATGATCTAAATCTACTTCTGCAATTCACATGCATTTTATGATGATGATTCAATCTCCCTTTCTGAAAACACATCCTCACCCTTCAATTTAATTCTTCTCCTCAACCTCTGCCTGCTACCCAAATCTGTCATCAAAGAAATTATATTTACTTTATAGTTGTGTATAAATTATATGCATATATTTATATATACGTATATGACCCAGAATTAGTTAGGAAAAAAAATCGGTGAGAAAGGACATAACATGGTTAAAGAAAATGTCAGTCTGAGGATTTTATTTATTTATTCATTTATTTATTTTCGTTTATGCATTACAATGAATTCATGTTCTTTCCTTGAAGGTTAGAAATTTACCCTTGTTTTGATCTTAAAATTTTACCCTTGTTTTATTTCTCTCACATCATGCTCAGATCTCCATGTTACATTATCACCTCCATTCACAAATCCAAACTCTAGGAAGCAACCCATTGATTTCAGACAATGTTCTGGTTTTAGCAAGGATTGATTGGCATTTTTCGAAGTAGGTATGTTCAAACATTATATTTTTCAATGCAAATTATTTTTTCTGCTTTCAAAAAGCTTAAATCAAGTATGGTTATTGTTGAATTTTTGTTAAAAATGAGTTTAATTCAAGCTTAATTATGTTAAAAAAAAAATTCTGTATTCAGTGACTAATGCAGGAGATGGATTACATAGGCTTAAGCAGTGAGCCATCGAATAGTTGTGAAGTTGATATGGAAGATGATTGTCCTTCTCCTCCTAATGAGTGTTCCTCAAAAAAAGAAATTCAACAAAAAAAGGATGAACCAGAACTTGGAATGGAGTTTAGTTCAGATGAGGGCGCATACCAGTTCTACCTCAACTATGGTAGTAAACTTGGTTTCGATGTAAGAAGAAATCATCACAGGAAAAATAGAAATGGGATTATTACTAGGGTTACCTTTTGTTGCTTAAAAGAAGGTAAAAGAAGAGAGAATAGAAGAAAAAATCCTTCCTACCATCAACCCATAACTAGAGTTGGTTGTGAGGCTCAAGTGACTTGTCTACTTCAAAATAATGGAAAATTCAAGGTTGTGTCATTGAACAAAAGTCATAATCATGACTTGGTTAGAACCCCCATGAAACATATGTTGAGAGTTAATCGAAGTATTTCAAAGGCTCAAAAAGCACATGTTGAAGATGCAGACAGGTCGGGATTACCAATAAAATCATCTATGGAGTTGATGAGCAGAGAAGTTGGGGGGAGAGAGAATTTTGGTTTTCTAGATAAGGATTACCGAAATTACATAAATAGAAAGCGAAATATGGCAATGGAAAAAGGTGATACTGGAGCTATATTAGAGTATTTTCATAATATGCAGCTGAGGGATCCATCATATATTTACTCACTACAACTTGATGTGGATGATATGACTACTAATATTTTTTGGGCGGATTCATGCTCAATTAGTGATTATGGACTTTTTGGAGATGTTGCGTGTTTTGACACTATTTATCGGACAAATGAATATGGTCGACCTTTAGCACCATTTATTGGGGTGAATCATCATAAGCAAACAGTCTTATTTGGTGCAGCTTTACTTTATGATGAAACCACTGCATCATTTAAGTAGTTGTTTGAGACTTTTCTTGGTGCAATGTCTGGAAAACAGTCTATCACAGATCAATCTGCTGCAATGGCTAAAGCAATATCAGAAGTATTTTTTGAATCTCAACATAGGCTATGTGTTTGGCATATTTATCAAAATGCCGCGAAGAATCTGAGCCATGTAATTTATGCATCAAGCCAATTTGCTCATGATTTTGGCAATTGTGTGTATGATTATGAAGATGAAGATGAATAGCTATTGGCGTGGGAAAGTATATTAGATAAATATAGTCTCAAAGAGAATAAATAGTTGAAAGAGTTATTTGAAGTAAGAGAAAAATGGGCAATGGTTTATGGACGACACACTTTCACTGCTGACATGAAAACTACTTAACTTAGTGAGAGCATGAATAGCATACACAGGGCTTCTAAATGGCGTAGGTATGTAGCATCAGACTCTAAGCCACCCTGCACCCAACTATCACACCCTTTACTAGTGCATTATACTTCTTATTGTTGTCATCCACCTTCTCCCTACAACGCCCACCAAACCCACCTGCAATCCAGCAGCAAAAAATAATAATTAAAAAAAAAAAAAAAATAGATAGAGAAAGAGAGAGAGCAGAAAAAGAAGTTTTTAAAGTTGCAATATAATTTAAATTCCATAACTGACATTCATCTTAGATTCTTGAACAATCCTACAACTAAAACTCTAGCAAGCAAACCAATAGAAAATTACTGGGCAAACATGTCATAGCTAACCAGGGCTATAATTGTTTTGATGACAGATTTGGGTAGCAGGCAGAGGTTGAGCAGAAGAATTAAATTGAAGGGTGATGATGTGTTTTCAGAAAGGGAGATTGAATCATCATCATCAAATTCATGTGAATTGTAGATTATCATGGATGAAGTACCTGGTTCTGTGGGGACAATTGGTTGCCTTGAGATAAAGGTTTCTCTTCTGCTTCTCTTCTACAGCTTCACTGATGCTATTCTACCAACTCTGCAAATTGCATCATCTCTTATTTACTTTTCTAGTTCGTGAGCTTCCGTCTTTGGTGAGGGCAATACATTGGGAGATGGGAGATTGATCTGATAAAGAAAGGAAAACATACGGGATGGGAGAGAAACAAGGAGAGAGAAATTAAAATGGGTCGGTTAAATGGGTTATATACATGTTTTATATTTTTTAATGCAATGGAGATGTGGCAAATTCTGATTGAGCCACGTCAGCATGGAGGACAATTCTTGTCCGATAAGGCAAGACCAAGCATTACTCCTTGGTATCCCTTGAATATATATATATATATATATATATATATATATTCAATGTACTCTTACAATTTTTTGCACCTGGCCGGGTGTGTTTTCAAGTGCTAGCTCGACTATTTACGAATATGATTTTAAGGTTGTGGTTTTTAATGGTCAAGACTCAAGAATGATGCCACGTGTCCATTTAGGTGTGAACTTTTAGCCTTCCTAGTAAGAGTAATTATCGTCAGCTATAAACCATAAGATACAGTTGTATAATGGTTTACGGCTGTTCTGCACCTGTGGTTTTAATATGTATGCGTATATATAAAACAAATATCAAGTAAGACGAAACTCTCTCATTTTATTAAACAAATATGGTAATAAGTTGCATATGATAATATAAGTTGCATTTTTTTTTTTCTTTCTAAAGGGACAACTGGCTTCTCTTTTTTTAAATTAGTAAACTGATGGCTCGTTCATACATAAAATAAAATACAAAATCATATTTTTCCCTTTCAAGTGGTCCAACCACCCGTGTTTAACATCCCCGCCCTCGCGAAATAAATTCCTGGTTCCATCACAGTCCATTATCGGACCAACACAGAACCCTTAGAATCATGCACCAGCCACCAAAATAATCCCTAAGAGGAAATTACTTGCTTTACAAGTAGATTGTAAATGCATATGTTGGTGAAAATTGAGGACTATGACAACTTCGCAAACCTTTAAGAGGACATAATTTAAGAACTAGGGCGGCCGGTTTTTAAGACTGAGGGTATGGTTGAAGTTGAATAGGTCCCTTCACAAAGGGGACTTAGATTGGTTTGAAAAGAATTGAGTGCTAAGGCCAGGTGATGTGATACAAAGTGACATCAAATGGTGGCTGCCAGCTAGGAATAAGAACTACACTGGAAAGTCTAATAGTCAAGCACAAAATAAATTAAAAAATTTATAATGATACGACTAGCGTACTAGCCAGCTGGAGCATGAAAAAAAAATAAAAAACTACTCAAGTTGTAAGAGAAGAATACACAGCCAATTCTTTACTCCCCGTATCTTGTAATTATAACAAATTAATATGTAAGGGACATTATATCGAAAACTAAAACTGTTCCAACACAACTTAGATATAACCACATACAAACTACGAATATTGTATCAGTAAAATTATTAATACAAGTTGTCAACAATGAAAAAAATTGGCGCAAAGCAAAAATTCCCAAACATCTTTCAATAATAGATCAGAAAAATGCTACAAATCAATGTTACAACAATATCGTTGATTATTTAACATTCACCTTTAGATGATAAAAGTGGAAACCAAAAGAAATCCAAATCTAAAAAGAAAGAAAAATAGTGCTACTATAGGATTGCAACAACCACAAAATTGGTAAAATATAATCAAGAAGTGCAGATCGAAATATAAAATTAGTTGAAAGAGAAACATATCGAAACTCTACAGAACTCGGACCTATATCAACCACAGACTTTTCTTCAAAAAAAAAAATTAATTAATTAATTAATAATAGCCTCAGTAGAGACAGCAATATAAAGTAGTCAATTGAGATTTGAAGAAGATAGTGAAACATACGCCACACCGACTCCAACGCCGACACTAGTACCAGCCGTAGCAACCCCCAGATGGAACGCTGAGGAAGGAAAACAAAATTATTGGTGAAAACCCTAGTCTTTACGTTGCGTGGACTTGTTGGTTGAGTATGGATGAAAATTGAGCCGAGAATGCGAATTTATATAGCGAGAGAAGCGAAACCCTAAACAATATTATTGAAAATTGAAAGGCAAATAATTAAAACCGTAAGTGGTGGTGGAGAGATAATTACTCAATTGAGCAGACATCAGCAATTCCTTAAACTGATTATAAAACTTGATCAGGGATTTTTTATCAACCATTGATTCGTAAACAATAGCTTCTCTTTGCAATTAGACAACCAATTCTTCTTAAAACCCTAGCACGGTACAGAAGAAGAATAGCTTAAAATTGAAACTTAGTCTATTTTTGAGAAAAAGACGACACCCTCAAATTTGATACAGTTACCAAACACACCCAATGGTACTAAATTGACAGTTTTGTCCTTTGACTTTTACATTGACTAATTTAAATGTTGAAATTACCTTTCTAACTCCTGCTCACAAACAAGATCCTTCCTTCTCCCACCTTCTTTGCCTTCTCATCGCAGATAAGAACTAATTATACAATTGTATCTTAATGTGTTTGGCATGATTTTTTTTTTTAAAATAATATAATAATTTTTGCAGCTTTATATATATATCACACTCCTCTCCACAGCCCGTCGCCCACTGCTACCGTCGCTCCATCTCAGCCGACCTCACCGTTCCGAGCGAAGCTCGCAAGCTCACCGCACGAATCATTCACGACCGAGTCAGCCGACTTCTCCACAGCCGTACAGAGCCCATCACCATCCTGCTGTTTAATCCCGCGGTCACCATCATCTGAAGCCGCAAGCTCACGGCCGAACCTGTCCACCGCCGCAGTGTTGTGGTTTTGTAGAGTCTGATTAAGTAATTATTTTTTAGGAAGATTTAATTATATGGAAACTTCAACACTGTTGAATTTTAGAGAAAATTCAGTTTTCTGATCTGTTTTAACTTCCTTATTGGTTTAAGGAAAATTCAGTTTTCTGATCTGTTTTAACTTCCTTATTGGTTTAAGGAAAATTCAATTTCCTGATCTGATTTAACTTCCTTATTGGTTTTGGATTTTACAAAACGCAAGTTCTTGTAGGACAAGTTTGGGACTCTATAAATATCAACTCTAATTAGATTTTAAAGTGTGTGAAAGTTAGAGATAAATTTGTGCCAATACATGAGAAAGCAATTGAGAAAGATAGAGAGAAAATTCTCTATTGTAATTCTTCATCTTTTTCACAGTGAATTTGTTCAGTGTACTCCATGGACATAACCCTAAGATTTGGGTGAACCATGTATATCTTATGTTCTTGTGTGTGAATTTTTTTTTTTCTTCATGATTGCTTATTTATTCCTTGAATAGTGTTGTTATTTGCATTTCTGCCACAACAACTGGTATCAAATCCGGTTGATTGTGCAGTTCAACTCTAACAACTGGTATCAGAGCCTTTGGTTGAGAACCTAGGGCACAGAAGGTGTTTGACGAAATTTTGAAAGTCTTTCGATCAGATTTGTCCGTTCGAGTGGGAGTAATGGCATCAGAAGATAAGACATCCACATTTATAATTGAGAAGTTCGATGGCACAAACTTTGGTTTCTGGAAGATGCAAATTGAAGATCTCTTGTTTCAGAAAAATCTGTATCAACCTTTGGGAGAGAAGCCAGAGGAAACAAAGAATGCATAATAGGAATTACTCGATAGGAAGGCTCTCAGCATCGTCAGATTAACGTTGTCAAAGTCAGTCGCCTTTAATATCAAGAATGAGAAGACGACAAAGTCTCTCATGGCAGCCCTTTCTAGTATATATGAACAACCCTCTGCAACGAACAAGGTGCACTTGATCAAGAAGTTGTTCAACATGAAAATGGTCGAAGGTGGTAAGTTCAATGAACATCTAATGTGTTCAACGAGATAGTTGGGAGTCTGTTGATATTAACTTCAAAGACGAGGTTCGAGCACTGCTAATTCTAGGGCTGTTACTCGAGAGTTGGAGTGACATAGTTACAGCGATCAGTACCTCTATAAGGAAGACCAAGTTGAAGTTTGATAAAGTTGTGAGCATGATTCTGACTGAAGAAATCAGAAGACAAACAATAGGGGTT